TTGATTTTATGGTTTTCAACGATACATCCAAATTACAATATATATGTATATATATATATATATATATCCTTAATAAGATTTGTTCGATATGTCATTCGAATGATATTCATATTTATTATCGATAGACCACATATATATGTACATATGTACGAGGTTAATACGATCTTTCGATTTCTCACTTTTTGATTTCTCATTTTCGAAAACGATAATAGTAAAAATTACAATTTACGTTTCTTGATGATATCTGTTCAAATATGTCAATCAATCGTTATTAATATTTATTAATATATTACGGATATGTATACGTTTATATGAAACGATTATTTTCGATATTTCTTCTATTCGATAAATTTTCATCGGGGAAATACGGAATATACATATGTTATACATATATGAAAAACGAAACGCGTATGGTGTCATGGTACTGGATAGGAAATGGATACGCATATCCGATAGTGAAAAAAGTTAACGCCTTTAAACGAGTACCGAACTATGCTCTTTACGATCTCACATGCATATGTATGTACATATACATACAGAACATGTACACACATACATTCACACGCACACACATTCACGTACGTACGAGAAGTTACTAGTATGTATTTCATTTGCTATTGTATTTTTTGCTTTCTCTCTCTCTCTCTCTCTCTTTCTCTCTCTCTCTCTCTCTCTCTCTCTCTCTCTCTCTCTCTCTCTCTCTCTCTCTCTCTCTCTCTCTCTCTCTCTCTCTCTCTCTCTCTGGTCTTTTTTTTTCCTCTATATTTTTTTCTTCTTGCAACATATTTGTTACTGACGTAGAAATAAACGTAACAATGTTTTCATTATTCAATGATTGGCTATTCGCTATTCATTAAGTTTTCATTCTGATCTGTGAACGTCGATGTTATGAAGTTTTCTTCAAAATAGTATGAAAAAGGAACAAAAAAAACAAAAACAAAAAAAAAAAAAAACAAGAAAAGAAAAAATACCGTGAAAATATAAACTACAATATAAATACATTTAATTATTAATTCTGTTAATAAATGAAGAAGATTTTTTCATCGGCATTGATTTATAAAATTTATTTATCGTTTGCAAATAAAACGTTGTTACGATAAATAGGGATAAATTTAAATGGATAAATTGATTAATTAGATATAGGAAAGAATATTTTCTAAAGTAAATATTAATTAACTTTTAACGATAATAATTATTTCTTAATGAGACGTTTGTTAACAAATGATTTATTTATTCTTATAGATAAATCATTTTACAATGGAGCAAGTAAGATAGAAACAAAACAAAAATGTAATTAATAAAATAAAAATTAATAATAAAAATTTAATTAACTGGAATTTACAAATTTAGAATAATTTATTAAACAGAAGAATCTTCATTTTACATTATATTAAATATAAATAGAGTGTATGTGTGTGTGTGTGTGTGTTTAATTTTACAATAGAATACAGTAGTAGGATATAAAGGAACAATTAATTTTATCAGAATTTAATACATTTAAATAATTAATATAATAATTTAATAAAATCAATAAATTTCATGTTATACATATATATATATATATATATATATATATATATATATATATACATTGTGTGAAATAAAAATTCCAAAAAAAAAGGAGAAAAAAAAATAAACAGACGAATAAACAAAATATATGCAAATGTATAAAATTTTTTTCACTTTAAGTCATAAGTCATACTTAAAGTCACATTTAAATCATAAAATATCATAGGTATTGAATAAAAAAAATAAATCTATTCACGGAATCCGAAAACTTTAATCGAACTTATTTCCCCCCTCTCTCTTTCTTTCTTTTATTTTTTCTCATTCTCTCTCTCTCTCTCTCTTTCTTTTATTTTTTCTCATTCTCTCTCTCTCTCTCTCTCTCTCTCTCTCTCTTTTTCTATTAACTAGTTTGAGGAAGAATGAGAGAGAAAGAAAAAAGTAAAGAGTGAGGGAGGGGAGGGGGAGAGAGAGTGTGTGAGAGAGAGAGAGAGAGAGAGAGAGAGAGAGAGAGAGAGAGAGAGAGAGAGAGAGAGAGAGAGAGAAGAGTCTCCGGCGGTCGTTCGCGTCGAGCTATGAAATTTGGTGGATTTCGCGGGAGCGCGCGCCGTCCGATCGGAAACGATTTGAATGCGATTTGAATTTTGAGTACACTCGCGAATTTGCATATGTAAACACGACGCGTCGCTGTGACGATGCACCGTACACACACAACCACCCATCTATCCACCCACCCACCCATCCACCCATTCTCTCAACTACACAAATACACGCATATACGGATGCACATAAACATCCGTCGTACTTTCACGCGTGCATATACACCCTCCCTTCCGCCCCCCCCTCTCACCCACGACGCACACCAATTTACAAAAACACATGCACAAATGCA